CCAGACCAGACCTGGGATAATCCCAGGGTTGCGGGACACGTCAGTAACTCCTGGGGTCACCAGACCAGACGAGAGATAACCCCAGGGGTGAGGGACACGTCAGCAACTCCTGAGATCACCAGGGGATAATCCCAGGGGTGTGGGACATGTCAGCAATTCCTGGGGCCACCAGACCAAACGTGGGATAATCCCAGTGGTGTGAGACACGTCAGCAACTCCTGGGGTCACCAGACCAGACGTGGGATAATCCCAGGGGTGTTGGACACGTCAGTAACTCCTGGGGCCGCCAGACCAGACGTGGGATAATCCCAGGGTTGCGGGACACGTCAACAACTCCTGGGGTCACCAGACCACACGTGGAATAATCCCAGGGGTGTGGGACACGTCAGCAACTCCTGGGGTCACCAGACCACACGTGGGATAATCCCAGGGGTGCGGGACACGTCAGTAACTCCTGGGGCCGCCAGACCACATGGGATAATCCCAGGGTTGCGGGACATTCCAGCAACTCCTGGGGTCACCAGACCACACGTGGAATAATCCCAGGGGTGTGGGACACGTCAGCAACTCCTGGGGTCACCAGACCAGACGTGGAATAATCCCAGGGGTGTGGGACACGTCAGCAACTCCAGGGGTCACCAGACCAGACGTGAGATAATCCCAGGGGTGTGGGACACGTCAGCAACTCCTGGGGTCACAAGACCAGATGTGAAATAATCCCAGGGGTGTGGGACACGTCAGCAACTCCTGGGGTCACCAGACCAGACGCGAGATAATCCCAGAGGTGTGGGGCACGTCAGCAACTCCTTGGGTCACCAGACCAGACGTGGGATAATCCCAGGGGTGTGGGACACGTCAGCAACTCCTGAGGTCACCAGACCAGACGTGGGATTATCCCAGGGGTGCGGGACACGTCAGCAACTCCTGACATCACCAGGGGATAATCCCAGGGGTGTGGGACATTTCAGCAATTTCTGGGGTTACCAGACCAGACGTGGGATAATCCGAGGGGTGTGGGACACGTCAGCAACTCCTGGGGTCACCAGACCAGACGTGGGATAATCCCAGGGATGCAGGACACGTCAGTAACTCCTGGGGTTGCCAGACCAGACGTGGGATAATGCCAGGGGTGCGGGACACGTCAGCAACTCCTGGGGTCACCAGACCAGACGTCACCAGACCAGACGTAGGATCACCTGGGGTCACCAGACCAGACGTGGGATAATCCAAGGGGTGTAGGACACGTCAGCAACTCCTGGGGTCACCAGACCAGACGTGGGATAATCCAAGGGGTGCTGGACACGTCAGCAACTCCTGGGGTCACCAGACCAGACGTGGAATAATCCCAGGGGTGCGGGACAGGTCAGCAACTCCTGGGGTCACCAGACCAGACGTGGGATAATCCCAGGGCTGCAGGACACGTCAGCAACTCCTGGGGTCACCAGACGAGACGTGGGATAATCCCAGGGGTGCGGGACACGTCAGCAACTCCTGGGGTCACCATACGAGACGTGGGATAATCCCAGGGGTGCGAGACACGTCAGCAACTCCTGGCGTCACCAGACCAGACGTGGGATAATCCCAGGGTTGCGGGACACCTCAGCAACTCCTGGCGTCACCAGACCAGACGTGGGATAATCCCAGGGGTGCGGGACACGTCAGCAACTCCTGAGGTCACCAGACCAGATGTGGAATAATCCCAGGGGTGTGAGACACGTCAGCAACTCCTGGGGTCACCAGACCAGACGTGGGATAATCCCAGGGTTGCGGGACACGTCAGCAACTCCTGGGGTCACCAGACCAGACGTGGGATAATCCCAGGGGAGCGGGACACGTCAGCAACTCCTGGGGTCACCAGACCAGACGTGGGATAATCCCAGGGGTGTGGGACACGTCAGCAACTCCCGGGGTCACCAGACCAGACGTGTGTTAATCCCAACATCTCCATTCAAAGCAGGTGAAATCGCAGATCTAGAGAGTGTACAGAGATCCTTTACTGCACGTATAAGTTCTGTCAAGCACCTTAACTACTGGGAACGCTTGGAAGCACTTGACTTGTGGATAAATTAGACACATGTGCAACTCTTGGGTATCTTTATTGAGGAAACGTTTTGCCACACAGTGGCTTCATCAGTCCATACAAAGGAGAATCTTGAAGAACAGGAGGAGAATGAGGTAATCAGTCCCTCAACCTTGAGTCGATGTGATCAGTCCATCAATCTTGAATAGAATACGGCATACGTGCAGAGAAGGAGCTTATAAACTGTTGGTAGGAGAGGTGTAGCAGTCATAGGCGGTGTCACACTTGTTCATTGTGGAAGTAGGTCGTGCCCAAGAATTAGGCAAGCGAAGAATTCCCAAGTATTAAGATCCCAAGAAGTTGCAGTGTCTGACAGGTTTGTAGATGAATGGTTCAGAGAACCGACATGTTGATAAATTAGACATATGTGCAACCCATACAAGATTCTCCTTTGTATGGACTGATGAAGCCACTTTGTGGCGAAACGTTTCCTCAATAAAGATACCCAAGAGTTGCACATATGTCTAATTTATCAACATGTCGGTTCTCTGAACCATTCATCTACAAACCTGTCAGACACTGCAACTTCTTGGGATCTTAATACTTGGGAATTCTTCGCTTGCCTAATTCTTGGGCACGACCTACTTCCACAATGAACAAGTGTGACACCGCCTATGACTGCTACACCTCTCCTACCAACGGTTTATAAGCTCCTTCTCCGCACGTATGCCGTATTCTATTCAAGATTGATGGACTGACCACATCGACTCAAGGTTGAGGGACTGATTACCTCATTCTCCTCCTGTTCTTCAAGATTCTCCTTTGTATGGACTGATGAAGCCACTGTGTGGCGAAACGTTTCCTCAATAAAGATACCCAAGAGTTGCACATGTGTCTAATTTATCAACATGTCGGTTCTCTGAACCATTCATCTACACACTTGACTTGTACTCGTTGGAACGCAGGAGGGAGAGATATATCATAATCTACACTTGGAAAATCTTGGAAGGAATGGTCCCAAATCTGCACACAGAAATCACTCCCTACGAAAGTAAAAGACTGGGCAGGCGATTCAAAATGCCCCCAACAAAAAGTAGGGGCGCCATTGGTACACTAAGGGAAAACACCATAAGTGTCTGGGGCCCAAAACTGTTTAACAGCCTCCCATCAAGCATTAAGGGAATTGCCAATAAACCCCTGGCTGCCTTCAAGAGAGAGCTGGACAGATACCTAAAGTCAGTGCCAGATCAGCCGGGCTGTGGCTCGTACGTTGGACTGCGTGCGGCCAGCAGTAACAGCCTAGTTGATCAGGCCCTGATTCATCGGGAGGCCTGGTCATGGACCGGGCCGCGGGGGCGTTGATCCCCGGAATAACCTCCAGGTAACATCCAGGGGTGTGGGACACGTCAGCAACTCCTGAGGTCACCAGACCAGACGTGGGATAATCCCAGGGGTGTGGGACACGTCAGCAACTCCTGGGGTCACCAGACCAGACGTGGGATAATCCCAGGGGTGTGGGACACGTCAGCAACTCCTGGGGTCACAAGACCAGACGTGGGATTATCCCAGGGTTGCGGGACACGTCAGCAACTCCTGAGGTCACCAGACCAGACGTGGAATAATCCCAGGGGTGCGAGACACGTCAGCAACTCCTGGGGTCACCAGCCCAGACGTGGGATGTCTTGGTATGACATCTTTCTACAGAACATCAAACTTTTCAATAAACTACACAATCTGAGTTATGACGTTTCATTGTGGATAAGTTTCGTTCAGTAGATGAGTTAATATAGTCGCTGGTGGACGAAATATCTTAACAAAAAAATGCCATGAACCGCACTGTGTAATTTATTAATATACTGTTGGTATACGCAGAGTCCAGGAGAGAACAAATAGCCATAGAAGGAATTAGAGGAAAGGCCAATACATTTTTCTTCCTACACAAAATCCAGGGCCAAAACCTCGTATATTAGGATGTCTCGGGAAATCAGTGAAAATTACTGTGTTTAGTGAACCACTCATTAGTCTAGAGATAGAAGAACCGAACGAGTTTTTCCATGAGACTGGTAACACTTCCAAAACTGACTTTGAAGAAGCCATCACCAGCATGCCCATGCATTCTGCTCCAGGCCCAGACTTGTGGAATTCCATATGCCTCAAAAAGAGTGAGAAGCCTTTAATATTTGATATCCGTCATAAAGTCATAAAGAATGACATAATTCCTAGCACAGTAACATTCTTAGCGGATGATCCTAGAATATCTGAGTATCATCCGTTAAAGACACAGCAAGTCTTCAAGTGGATGATATAAATCAGGTCTTTCTCTGTTCCTCAGACAGTATGATGTTTAACGAGGAAACGTTTAAGTTGCTCCGCTAAGGAAGAATGGACGAAATAAAAACAGAACAGGATAAATTCAAATCACTCAATAAAGCTTATGTGCCAGACCTGGGAGTAATGATGTCAGATATCACGGTCAAGGATCACAACAATGCTGTCATTGCTACACCAAGGAAAAGGAAATGCTGGATAACTACAACCTTCAATACGAGATGCTGAGCCAATGATGAGACTCAAATGACCTCTCTCTAGGATGGAATACTGATATATACTTACTGCTTCCTTCAAGGCTAGCGAGTCCTCTGAGCTGGAAAACGTAAATAATTTTCACTCCCCACATGCATTCATTCAACTGAACCACTAGGAAAAGTCCCTTCAACTATATTCCTTGGAATGTAGGCGAGAAAGATACATAATATACACCTGGAAAATCCTGGAGACCGGGGCAGGACGGGTCAGGGTAGGGCAGGGCAGGACAGTCAGGTCAGGGATGGAGGAAGGGCGAGGCAGGACGGGTCAAGGCGAGCCAGGACGGGTGAGGGCGGGTCAGGACAGGTCAGGGCGGGGCAAGAGGGCCGAGGGCGGGGCAGGGCGGGTGAGGGCGTGGCGGGAGGGGTGTGGGCCAGCCAGGAGCGTAGAGACCAGACCCGGGTGTGGAGGACAAGCTTGCCGCAGTTCACCTGCAGGCCGCACCCAGCACGCACACCAAGACACTCACTCCGCTCAGCGCCACCCCTCACAACACTGCTGCCATTATCATAATACTTGAGTAAGAACACCAGCATAATAACGAGTGGGAGCCACAGTGGTGAAGAGTGTCAACACAGAGCCAGTGGTGTCCCCCACACACCCGTCACGCACCCACCACACCAGGTGGGACACACCCTCCTCCTCCTCCCCCCTCATATTGACTAAACTCCTCCCTCACACTTTACTATTCACAATATTGATCAGATGCTCTCAAGACGTTCTATTGGTGCAGCCTCTCTCAAGGTCAGTACACAGTATTTTGGTGCTGGCTCCGTAATGGTCATTACACAATAGCTTGGTGATGTTTACCTGCTGGTTGTTGGGATCATCGTCCCCGCGACCCAGCCTCGCAACAGAGCCTCATGCTTGATCAGTCAGTCAGTCAGGCTGTGTTCCTTGTACACAGTTACACGAATAATCAGTCAGGTTCCTTGCACCCAGCCACACGGATGATCAGTCAGGTTCCTTGCATGCAGCCACACGGATGATCAACGACGGTCTACAAGAACTTGTCTAGTTACATCTTCAAGATAGTTGGAGGCTGTTTTTAATTGACCTTACATTTAACGAGTGCAGAAAAGTAATGGGACTTTACACTCACTGAGTTATCTAGAAGTGTGTTTTTTGTACCTCAGCGTTCATTGAGAATATTTGGTATATTGTATCAAGTTCTTGTAAGGCTTAATTTCAGTGTAAATTATATAATTGTAAGCACATATCTTTAGACATTCCTAATATTTTAAGAGTTTAAAATGATATGGGGAGATCTCCAGAGTTGTAATTTCGCCTGATCCCCCCCCCCCAAAAAAAAAAAAAAAATAAATAAAAATAAAAGTTTACTAATTTACATCAGTTTTCCAATCGAGAATATAAGTACCTAAAAACTATTTAATTGTTTTGAAGGTTCCTGCTCTCCAGCCGATCAATTTTTATTTACCTTTTAGTTACGATATCAACATGTGTTCCTGAGATCCGTCATGGTTACCCCCGAGTCCCTCAAGCTGGACTAGTTCCACTGCGCTTTGTTTTTGGTCATTTTTATTACTTAAACTTTTCCCCTAGCATACTAGTTATAATTTGTGTTCGCTGAACAACGTGCTGCTGTATGTGGCTCACTGAACCACTTTCCTTACAACGGCTTCGAGTTTTTACCGTTTCATCGATGGATGCAACGACTAGTAGTTTGTGGAGGGCCTTATTTGTGTCTTATATATATGACGTAAAGGAGATCATAGCATTCCTCACGTAATGTTATGCTCCGCTATGGAAGAATGGAGGATATGATGGAGCACAGAACAAACTCAGATCATTCAAAGACAGAAGAAATGTCGGAAGATCTCACATTCAAGGATCACAACAACATTGCCATTGCTACAGCAAGGGAAAATGATAGCCTGGATAACTAGAAGTTTCAAGACATGAGATACTGACTCAATGATGGCCCGCCCCCCTTCATGGTAGGAGATGAGTACTGAGAACATTCACTGTTTGTATACATTCAAACATCTAACCTACTGGGAACACTAAGTCCCTTCAACTGTATTCCTTAGAGCGTAGTCGAGAAAGTTACATAATATACACCTGGAAAATCCTGGAGAGACTGCTCCCAAACCTGAACACCGATATCGCTCCATATAGCAAGAGGCTTGGGGGACTGCAAAATACCTCCACTGAAATGGAGGGCCACAACGAGTATACTACGAGAACTCGAGTGTCAGGGGTCCCCTTTGAAGAGTTTCGAGAGTTAATCTACTCTCTGAGCCAGGCCAGGCTCGTCTGGTCCTTGCCTGGTCAACCAGGCTGTTGCTGCTGGAGGCCCGCTGTTCCACATATCCATCACAGCCTAGTTGATCCGGCACCTGGTGAAGATACTTGTCCAGTTTCCTATTGCATACTTTTCCTGAGCAACCTCACTACATGCATACGGGAAATTGCCAAGAAACCTATGGCGGTCAAGAGGGAACTGGACAAGTTCCTCAAATCAGTGACCAGCTGGTCTGTGGTTGGTACGTTGAACTGCGTGTGGTCAGTAGTAACAGCCCGGTTAATTAGATATTGATCCTCTAGGAGGCCTGGGACTGGGCCGCGGGGGATATTGACCCCCGGAAACATCCTTCAGGTATGGTAAGGCTTTTACAAAGTCTTGGTACATAACGTAGTCATTTTGATTACGTCCCACTGAATATAAAACATCCTATTGTAAAATCATGTGGTGTGTTGTGCAAATGTTCTCTCCACATGTTCGTTAATCTTACTCTTTTAAGGAGTTTGATGGATAAAGTTAGCGTTAAAGGCTATAGTTTCTCGCAGTTGCTTTATGGTCGCTTTTGTTTTTAGAGTTTGTGTAATGGTACGACACATGTCTGTCAGGTTTCGAGGGTTTTTCGAACCCTAGCAGCCAGGTTTGAGTCTAAACTTAATTACTGATAATTCAACTTCTAACGCATCATCTCTCAATTCTTTAACCTTCTCGATGTTAGTTTTATCACTCTGTATTGCTATTTCCTTCAAGGATATATTAATATTTGATCCCTTACGCATCTTAAAACTTCAGGACCCTGATTAAAGTATTTATATTTATTAGCATAATTTGTCTTATTAATTCTACGTTTTAACCTTTTGCTTATTTTGCAATAATTTTACTTAAATCCAAATTATTTCTTCACATTATTATTATTATTTAATCGGTTTTGTATGCTTACGTAATTGTGTTCTGGTCTTGAGGATGTTGTCTCTGCTCCTGGTTCTGGCCTTGAGGATGTTGTCTCTGCTCCTGGTTCTGGTCTTGAGGATGTTGTCTCTGCTCCTGGTTCTGGTCTTGAGGATGTTGTCTCTGCTCCTGGTTCTGGTCTTGAGGATGTTGTCTCTGCTCCTGGTTCTGGCCTTGAGGATGTTGTCTCTGCTCCTGGTTCTGGCCTTGAGGATGTTGTCTCTGCTCCTGGTTCTGGCCTTGAGGATGTTGTCTCTGCTCCTGGTTCTGGCCTTGAGGATGTTGTCTCTGCTCCTGGTTCTGGCCTTGAGGATGTTGTCTCTGCTCCTGGTTCTGGCCTTGAGGATGTTGTCTCTGCTCCTGGTTCTGGTCTTGATGTTGTAATTGCTCCTGGTTCTGGCCTTGAGGATGTTGTGTCTGCTCCTGGTTCTGATCATGAGGATGTTGTCTCTGCTCCTGGTTCTGGCCTTGAGGATGTTGTCTCTGCTCCTGGTTCTGGCCTTGAGGATGTTGTCTCTGCTCCTGGTTCTGGTCTTGAGGATGTTGTCTCTGCTCCTGGTTCTGGTCTTGAGGATGTTGTAATTGCTCCTGGTTCTGGCCTTGAGGATGTTGTCTCTGCTCCTGGTTCTGGCCTTGAGGATGTTGTAATTGCTCCTGGTTCTGGCCTTGAGGATGTTGTCTCTGCTCCTGGTTCTGGCCTTGAGGATGTTGTCTCTGCTCCTGGTTCTGGTCTTGAGGATGTTGTCTCTGCTCCTGGTTCTGGTCTTGAGGATGTTGTCTCTGCTCCTGGTTCTGGCCTTGAGGATGTTGTCTCTGCTCCTGGTTCTGGCCTTGAGGATGTTGTCTCTGCTCCTGGTTCTGGCCTTGAGGATGTTGTCTCTGCTCCTGGTTCTGGCCTTGAGGATGTTGTCTCTGCTCCTGGTTCTGGCCTTGAGGATGTTGTCTCTGCTCCTGGTTCTGGCCTTGAGAATGTTGTCTCTGCTCCTGGTTCTGGTCTTGAGGATGTTGTCTCTGCTCCTGGTTCTGGTCTTGAGGATGTTGTCTCTGCTCCTGGTTCTGGTCTTGAGGATGTTGTCTCTGCTCCTGGTTCTGGTCTTGAGGATGTTTTCTCTGCTCCTGGTTCTGGTCTTGAGGATGTTGTCTCTGCTCCTGGTTCTGATCATGAGGATGTTGTCTCTGCTCCTGGTTCTGGTCTTGAGGATGTTGTCTCTGCTCCTGGTTCTGATCATGAGGATGTTGTCTCTGCTCCTGGTTCTGGTCTTGAGGATGTTGTCTCTGCTCCTGGTTCTGGTCTTGAGGATGTCTCTGCTCCTGGTTCTGGTCTTGAAGATGATGCCTTTGCTCCTGGTTCTGGTCTTGAGGATGTTGTCTCTGCTCCTGGTTCTGCCACTCAATTACTAATGTCTCTCTATTGACCCTATAATAACTTAAATAGTGTATGGAACTTGCCCCCAGCAGTTCCTCATCTAGAACGCTTCACTTTATCTTTCTGACCTAAAGATGCTTCGTGACGTTTCAGTGATTCAAGTGCAGCTTTAGCTTATGTTTATTTTAAAGTTCCCAACACATGTGCGCTATGTGGTGACCCTGTATGTGTTTTTTTTTTTATTTTAATGGGATGGTAAACCCAGTTCGGGTCAGTCAGCAGATGACTGACCAAGGGTATTTAACACCGGTAACCAAGCGGCTGCTTAACCACTACACTAATATGCAATAATGGTGTATCATCGCTTGCCTAATTGCTGATCAGATCATCTGGTAAAGAGATTTTTGAGTTTCCTGAAGAACAAAACAATGTCCCCACCCTTCAAGTTGCCTGCCTTTATGGATTCCTCCGAGTATTTTTCACGTCTTGATCATGTGCTTCATGATTCCTCTCTCCTCTAGTGCTGTAAAAAGACTCTTGTCTTCACATTTTATGCATCTTAGCAACATTAATTCCACAGTGAATCTCTATATTTTTAGCTTTTGGAAATGCCTACACAGGTGAAGGCTGTATGATGGTGCTGTGTACCCTATGATATGTCTGAACTACGTAGTATAAGGAATCCTGAAAGACTGATGAGGTACCTGAATGTTGTTATTAAGTTTGCCGGATTTTTTTTTTTGTCAGATGTTTTCAATATTTAGTAGCAATAGTTTTCGTGTGTCCTGTTGCACTGTTACAATTAAGTGGCACTCAAACATTTTAGCTTACATTTATTTGCTAGTTTCTTTGTTCTAGTTTGCGTGTCTTCCCCTAATTATGATTACAGTGTCGAGTCAGCTTCTGTTTTATGTCTGATTCGTAGTCCCAAGATCCAATCATACCTACTCTTGAGACTGAGTATACCTCCACCATATTTCCGAATAGTTGGTTCTACTTAATGAGACTTTAGTAGTATTTCCTAAGATCTCTGAAGGTTACCTACAC